CTCCATCTTGGACTCCATCTCAGTCCATCTCGGACTCCATCTTAGACTCTATCTCGGACTCCATTTCGAACTCCATCTCAGGTCCATCTCGGGTCCTTCTTGGACTCCATCTCGAGTCCATCTCAGACTCCATTTCGGACTCCATCTCGGGTCCATCTCGGACTCCACCTTGGACTCCATCTCGAGTCCATCTTGGACTCCATCTCGGGTCCATCTCGGACTCCATCTCGGACTCCATCTCAGGTCTATCTCGAACTCCATCTCGGGTCCGTCTCAGACTCCATCTCAAATTCCATCTTGGACTCCATCTCGGACTTAACCAAGTGTCATGTGTTGGTCCTCTTGTGTCCCTTTTCTAGAGACTCTTTTATTGCTCATTTTGTGCTCATCCCTTGAACACTTCGTTGGGAGTTCCACTCCCACTCTTGACTTTTCAAGTCAGAGCTTTTAGTCCAAATGTGTTATAATTGATTGGCTTTCGCTTTGGCCACTAGTACATAGCACTCTTTTGGCTCCACTTTGTGTGAGACACAAAATCCCTAGGCCCCAAAGTGGAGCCAAAAGGGCACCACGTGGTAGTGGCCGAAGCGAAAGCCAAATGAGCGTAACACGTTTGGACTAAAAACTCCGACTGGGAAAGGTCAAGGGTGGGAGTGGAACTCCCAACGAAGTGCTCAAGGAACAAACACGAGGCAAGCCATGAGTGAGTCTCTAGAAAAAGGGATACAAGAGGACCAAAACATGACATGTGGAAGTGTCTGAGATGGAGTCTGAGGTGGACCCGAGATGGACCCAAGATGGACCCAAGATGGACCTGAGATTGAGTCCAAGATGGACCCGAGATGGAGTCCGAGATGGACCCGAGATGGACCCGAGATGGAGTCCGAGGTGGAGTCTGAGATGGAGTCCGAGGTGGAGTCCGAGATGGAGTCCGAGGTGGAGTCCAAGGTGGACTCGAGATGGACCTAAGATGGACCCGAGATTGAGTCCGAGTTGGACCCGAGATGGAGTCCGAGATGGAGTCCGAGATGGACCCAAGATGGAGTCCAAGATGGAGTCCGAGATGGAGTCTGAGATGGACCCGAGATGCAGTCCGAGATGGAGTCTGAGATGGACCGAGATGGAGTTTGAGATGGACCCGAAATGGAATCCGAGATGGAGTCCGAGAAGGACCCAAGATGGAGTCTGAAGTCGAGACTAAGACCAAGACCGAGACCGGGACTGAGACCGAGACCATGACCAAGATCGAGACCAAGACCGAGACCGAGCCCGAGACCGAGCCCAAGTCCAAGTCCGAGTCCAAGTCTGAGTCCGAGTCCGAATCTGAGTCTAAGAGGGTGAAAGCCCAAAGCGTTTGTTTCCTAGACCCTAGGGGGGTTGGTGAGCTCCAAAAGTATAGTAGGGGGAGGACTACAGTGGAGCCAGTTTAGCCAGGAAAGGCCAGTTTAGCCAGGAAAGGCCAATTTGGCCCAGGAAGGCTGTACCCGGTGTTGGGTGATGAATTGCCCACTAGGAAGTCCAAGACTAGAGTGAACAAGGACCGACAAACAAGGTAGCTTGGTGAAGTGTTCAAGAGCCGGTTCTAGTTCCCCCAGGAGATCGACTAGCCGATGCTCCCAGTCCAAGTGTGGGTGGCACTACCTACTTGGATACCTGGCATGACTCAATGGAACCTCGCTCTAAGCCCATGGCTAGAGCACCTAAAGGCAAAAAGCAGAGAGAGTACCCATGAGGCCCGCGTAGGGCCATGGTGTTCCGAAATGTTGTCCCAAAGTCCCAATCTGTGGAAAGGAAGAGGAGTAGCCCTCTGGTGTGGTGACCAAAGACATAGTCACATAGTGAGGAAGTCCTAAAGGACAGTGAGACTTAGTGGTCGGGCCCGTAGGCCTTGATCCAGTGGCAATGTTGGTGAACATGGTCAAGGACAGAAAGGGACTTGGTGGAGACCTGAATGGAGATATTGGGGAAGGCTATTCCCCATGCATCCTAAGGATGCTAAGGAGTTGATCTGGGATGACCACTCACGGGCGAATGGCCCAGTCTTGAAGAGATGGGGTTGCAATGCAAATGGTGTTAGACCACCAATGTGACGAAAGTGAATGAGTGTGGCCTAGTGTAATGGGCTCATATGTCGGTGGTACCTTGGGGTGTCGGTCATAGGATCTGACACATGAAGCACTTGGACCAAGTGCAAAGGTTGAGTGGCATGGATGCTATTTTCGGGGCTAGCAAGCCCCAAGTCCTGAATGAGCTTTATGGAGGTTGTGAATGAGACTCTTCCAAGTGGTCGGAGGTGCAGTTAAGTGACTAAAGGAGAATGGAAAAATTAATCACTTACACTTTGGGGCTTAGGGATTTATGTCTCACATGACCATATCAAATGTTGTGGCAAGTTGAATAGCAAGTTTATAAGGTTCAACATGATATTCAATAAGCTAATCCTCTAAAAATTATACATATGCAATGGCTGAGTGAAATATTTCATACAAAGGGATCTAGAATAACTAGTACCACCTACAAATCCAATATACCTACTCTTGATGTTCCTTTAAATCCTAGCCCATTAACCATAGAACTTTAATTGCCTCCATCCTTTTGAGAGGAGAGAATGATATAAGGTCCAATTGTACAGCTGCAATGCCATATATTTATATTAACGTAATAATATTTTGATAATCGTTCAATTTAGACCACTTGTTGCTGTATATAAGCTAGGGTTTTTAGGTTAATTTATATGTATATTTCTGTATTCCATTTCCATCTTTCATGCACTCATATAATTAATTATAAATATTAAGTAAAATATGAGTTGTCTTATCTAGCTAATTATATTACATATAATTAGTCTTACCTACCTCCTCACCATGATGAAACAATAGAAAGTAGTTAAGAGGTGTTTACAAATAATTCTCTTTCTTATATTCTATTAGTTATTTTTAATAGTATTAAATATTTATATTTAGATTTATTATAAATAGTTTTATATATATATATATATATATATATATATATATATATATATATCTGTGTGTGTGTGTGTGTGTGTGTGTGTGTTAAATGATGGGTGTGAATAAAAACTAATAGCTAAAATCTATTTAAGATTTTAAAAATTATATTTTTTTGTAATAATAGATACAGACATACAGACACAGACACAGATGTATGTATCTATTATTCTATTATTACAAAAAAATAAATTTTCAAAAATTTAAATAGACTTTAGTATATATATATATCTGTGTCTGTGTCTGTATCTATTATTACAAAAAAATATAATTTTCAAAAACTTAAATAGATTTTAGCTACTAGTTTTTATTCACACCCACCATTTAACATATTTTTATGTGATGTATTTTATATAATTTGCAATTGTAATATATATTTAATGTTATGTATGATTTTTATTTTAAATTTACCCCATAAACTATGACTTCTTTACTATCAAGTATGACTGATAATACATGATTTTTTAAAAAAGAAACACTGCTTATTTTTTAAAAACAAATATAAACTTATTCAAATATGGCTTTATCATGATGTTTAATACCTTACCCTTAGTAGCATTATTTATTTATTTTTATTTTATGATTAATTTATATAAGATGCTTTATCATTGTTTTTTGCTCTTTTTATTGATAAATGCCAAATGTATATCATAAAGGTAACTATTTGTGCATCTTTATCACATTCTCAAAACACTCAGATGGTAGAAAATTAATGAAAGGTGACTGAAATATTTAAATCATATAGTTTATTAAAACTTAAATCATGACTATCATTACATATAGAATCTAAAGTATTAAAATAAGATAGAAGACATTGAGAAACATTAATATATAAAATTTATTCATTATAAATACATTTATGTATCACTTAAAAAATTTTAATAAGAATTTTTAAAAGGGCATTACATTATAAGTTTTCTTTCAAATTTAATTTAGTTAATTTTTAATCTAAAGAGCTAAGTTTATAATAAAGTTATTTGTGGGATGGGATTATGCATTGTAATTTCTAAGATTGAAGTAAATATATGATAAATAAAATTTAATAAATATATATAAATATATAAAAACAATTCTAAATATTTAAGAACTTTGAAATCCCTTGATGCTAAATTATGATAGAAATAAATATTTATTAAAAGTAACTATTACTAAGATTTTTGCTATATATTGCATACTACAATACAAATAGTAGTGCTATTCATGTAAAGTATTATTTAAATCCAATTTATTAGTCAGAATTTTATAATTATAAAACATTTTAAGAATTTCTTAAATTTCAAACATGTTTATGAGATTAATCTAAATGATTAATCCAAGTATATTCAAGTATATCCACTACCACAAATTTTTATTTACGTAAACCAAAAATTGATAAATTTAAAACCATGATTTTATTTTATTAAAAATCAATTATTAAATTAAATTTTATAAAAATAAATTTTATTAAAGGTTCTTAATAAAATTGTACCTTATATGTGTTGAGACGATCCCATGTACCAGTAAAAGCCCAATTTTGCCATCCATACCAATTATTAGTTTCGAAAAGACCATATCCATTAAAAGTGACTCCTATAAAGTAAATTCCATGTAATGTAAATTGACATTCTTCAAAAAATACATGACTAAATCCTTTACTTTTAAAAGTTTTATCATAACGCCAAACAATTGCATTTCCATATTTATTACATACTTCCACTTCTGCTGTCATATCAGGAGCCCAGTCATAATCATTTAAATTGTTACTTTGGTTCATATCAATGGTTATATTAGTATTTTTATAGAGATGTGTATTAATAAATATACTGGAATTATTTAAGTGAGACTCCAAGCTATAAGCAAGCATGTAATGAAGTAATAGAAATGATATGAATTTTAACATTTTTGAAAATATACACACATCTAGATTTAATTAGATGTGTTTTTATAATGTCCATTTTTGTTTTTTACAGCATATTGATTATATGGACTATCTGCATGATTAATGAGGTCAATGTATGAAGACAAACAACTAGTAGTTATTTTAATTTGTCAGAAAAACATGGAAAGAATAATTGCTAAAGTAGCTGTTTGTCAACATTCTGGTGGTAGCCTCAAAAACCTCTTGAAGTCCTTGCAATAATCATATATCATCCAATTGTCTTTGACCCATTGAAGCTTGTGCGTGGTATCCTCATCCTTAACCAAAAACATCGAGCTTTCCCACCACTTTGGAGGCCTCCTTGTCTTAGTGCAAGATCTTGGAGAACTCGACGACCACTTGCAAGCATCGATCCCAAACCCCCGAAAAGATGCCACAAACGGGGATTTGTTCCACTTGATCTTCTCTAATCCTCCACGAGTCGCCCAATCGTCCCCATTCCACAGGCTGGCGTAAACAGCCATTGGTTTCGTGAGTGGAAATGGAACGCCAAGCTCCGCCATCTTGTTGGCAAACACGCGGATTGGCACGTCGTCCACGTAGAGTCTTGTTGTAATGGCGAGAAAAAATAAATAAATTTTTTGAAAAGAATCTTGGGCTTCTAGACTTACATAATTTGCCGACGGTTCCAGAGGATTGAGTACGTATGAAAGTCGGCAGTGGGATCAAACCAGAGATAGATCTGCTGCTCTCGATCACCTGTTCCGTTTGCAAAGATGTTGGTGTGGACAATGTAAGGTTGCCCGCTGGTGTTTCCCAAGAACTCAAAGTCAATCTCATCGTGGTCTTTGGATGGCATCTGTGAAGACATCTAAGAAAGTAAAGGAGCAAAATTCAACAAGGTTATCCCAGGATAGAATGGAGAATAAGTTTTCTTACATAGAACGTTGTCACCGTCCCGGCGGATTCATTGGCGACGAGCTTGATTCTCATGCTCACATACCCAAAGAGATACTTGTTTTTGGAAGCAAATCCCGAGCCTCCTGTATGGAAGATTCGTACAAAGAATGTTGATATATCTCGTACATTTGGAAGAAGAAAATGATTTGCTAACCCGTGTTGTTGGTGAGAAGGAGCTGGAGCTGTGATCCTCGATTCATCAGCCTGGTGTTGCTACTCCCCCAGCTGACCTGATAATTCTTGGCAAACTTGGAGTCGGACAACCTCCTGGGCGTTTGTTGGGCCGACACCAATGATCCCGCGATCATCATCATCAAAGTTGTCATGGGCAATAAAACTTTGCGTGGATCCATGGAGAGGTTTCATACAGGACGATCCTCCAAATCCTCTCCCACCCCAATTGGATTGACACTGGATCAAGCCTATAAGTCCTCGCGATCGAGATATTCGTAGTCTAACTGGCAAACTGATCGTGCCATGAGTAGCCATACCTACCAAAAAGAAGAAAATGTCGGTGAATCGTGATGGACTGCGCCTTGGCGCGAATTCGCAGAATATCCGAGCGTTTAAGCCTGCGTGGCGAGACATGTACAACCTTGACGAAACCGTCAACCACGTGAAAATATCGAGATTCGATTATTTTAATATTGGACTGTTCGATCAAGGTTTTATGTAGAAGCTTTTTTCTCCTTTCTGGACTTGATTATTCATATGAATCATTAGTTAAAAAGTTCTACGACGAGACGAAGTTGTGATTCTCTTTGGAAGAGACAAAAGCATGAAATAACTCCACGGGGGCATTGCGTCCTTTCTTGTCAATGGGCCAATAACGCACAATGGACGGATCACCCAATATGTCACAAGCACAACACACACACACACACACACACACACAAAGAAAAGAAAAGAAAAAAAGAAAAGAAAAGAAAACATATTACGTAAGGACACGAGGTCAATGAACTTATCGTGGTGAAATATAAAGAGGAACTATTGAAGAGCTTTACAAGTTGAACTACACTTGTCTTTTCTCTCACTTGATAACGATAGCTGATCTTGTATAGATGGCAGATAGCCATGTAGAGATATAGAGAAGTGCTGATTTGAAGATTATGGCTAGTCAAGAATTGGGAGACCAAAGGAATAGCCACGAATCCATGGATGGCCACCTTCTTCATCATGGCGTGCTCAGGCGCTACTTACAACTTTGAAAACCACACTGGGCTTCAAACCTATCTACGGTGGGATTTCCTTTGGCCTACTGTATGGTATCACTGGTTCATGGGTTGTGCTCATGTCTCCTCAATTACTTCGGATATCTCATGATCTGGATTGCGATGGAGCACAAGAACCTTACAACTTCCACGAGAACGTGATGTGTGGGAGGAGGATGCTGATCCAAAGCTCCACGGTCCTGGGCAGCGCCGCGAGAGTACATAAGCTGGGATGGCATCCACCACCGAAGCGTTCAATCGCTACGCAGTTGAAACTTTCAAACTCAGTTGAAATTGATCGACAAATTGAAGAGAATGATTTACTACCATGCTGACATGATAATTCTTGGCAAACTTGGCGCACAACTTCCTAAACAGACGATCCAGCGATGATCATCATCCAAGTTGCTAGGAGCAATAAAACTCCGCGGAGAACCATGGAAAGGTTTCATACAAGACAAAGCCCTTGATCGTTCCGATCCAATTCTCTCAACTCATTTGGATTGACGCTAGATCAAGGCGTTCTTGCGATCGAGATATTCGTTCGTCGAACTGGCAAACCCGCGGCTTTGATGGTGCCATGAATACAAAAAGAAGAAGATGTCGGTGAATCGTTGGATCGATTGCGACTTGGTGCGGGGGATTTTGAAAAGGGAAACTGAGGATTCATGGAGAACCTTGATCGATATGGTCAACCACGTGAAAATCTCGCGATTCGATGATTTTAATATCGGATTGGTCGGTCAAGGTTTCATGTACACATTCTGGAATCTCAAAATGTATCAAGCACGCGAGAACGAGAGTTGTGCAAAATGATCTCTCTTGGAAGAGACAAAAGCATGAAATAACTCCGGGACATATCTGTCGCGTCTGTTTTTGTCTTTTCTTTTTCCTTCTCGATGCCCACAATGGGTGATGGAGCACCCAACATGTCACAAGCACACTCATCAATCAATCAAAAAAAAAAAAAAAAAAAAACCAAAGAGAAAGAAGAAATTAAAAAAAAAAATCAACAACAATAATCTTGTGCTTAATGTCATAAACATGCACGTGGTTTCTAACCTCTCTACAACTTAAAGAGTATAAAAGAATTCCATGCTTGGGTGAAATATAAAGAAGAGGCATTGAATGAGCTCGGTAAGAAGCTCCTCACAAGCAGAAATAAACTTATCCTTTGGGCGAAGCTCTAGCGATGGCTGTTCTAGCATATAGATAGAAGCATAGATCTTACAACAGAGCTTTAGCTCTCCCAGAATTTGGGAGGAGCTTTCATGTAGAGAGCCTGAAGAGAAGTGTTGATTTGAAATTCGCTACTACTTATAAACTATATTATGGCTATGGAGCTCCCAGGAATTGGGAGATTGGCCAAAGGAGTAGCCACGAATCGATGGATGGTCGTGGTTGCCACCTTCTTCATCATGGCGTGCTCGGGCGCCACTTACAACTTTGGAATCTACTCCGACATCTTGAAAACCAGCATGGGATACAACCAAGAGACTCTCACCACTCTGGGCTTCTTCAAAGATCTGGGAGCAAACGTCGGGATCTTCTCGGGCCTGATCTATGATCTCACTGGCCCATGGGTCGTGCTCATGTGTGGAGCGATCCTCAATCTCTTCGGCTATCTCATGATCTGGCTGGCGGTGGAGCACAAGATCAGTCGCCCCGCGATCTGGAAGATGTGCCTCTTCATCTGCATCGGCGCCAATTCGCAGGCCTTCACCAACACGGGCGTGATCGTGACGAGCGTCAAGAACTTCCCAAACAACCGCGGCCTCGTGATCGGGCTCCTCAAAGGATACGTTGGCCTCAGCGGTGCCATGCTCACTCTCTTCTACCAGGCGCTCTACGGCAATAGCCCGGACAAATTCATCCTCCTGATCGCCTGGTTCCCGTGCTTGATCTGCCTCATGTTTCTCGCGGTGATCCGGAGGATGCCACCCACCGGGCCGGAGCTGGCCGCGTCCGAGAAGAAGATCTTCCAGGCGTTTCTCTTCATCGCGCTCGCCCTGGCGGGGTATTTGATGATCATCATCGTCGTCCAGCACCAGGTCAAAGTTCCCCGAGCTGGATTCCAGGCGCTCGCTGCGATAATGCTCTTGATTGTCATGTCGCCGCTGGCGCTCGTTGTGAGGGATGAGCTCCGGAAGATCGAGCAAGAGAAAAATCAAGAATTGAAAGAAGGGGCTAAAACAGGGGAAGAGGCTGAATCGAATTCCAAGCTCGCATTGGCAGGAAATCCAACTGACATTGGATCGATCCAACCACATGATCAGGATTCAGAGCCGGAAACGAAGAGATTCGCGCTGGATTGGAAGAGAACCGAAGGAATTCCTGGCCCAAAACAGGGGATTTTGCAAGAAGGGGCAAAAACAGGGGAGGATGATTGTTCCAATTCCACTCCCAAGGAGCTGGAACTGGCAGCCGGCAAAGAATCCACCCATGCCGAGACTCTCAATCCCGAGCCGCGCAGCAGGAAATTCACGCTGGAATGGAAGAAAATCCGGAGAATTTTGTGGGAGAGGCCTGCCAGAGGCAGCGACTACAACATCCCCGACGCCATCTTCACCATCGACATGTTCTTGATCTTCGTCGCCACCACCTGTGGCGTGGGCGGAGGCCTCATGGCGATCGATAACCTCGGCCAGATCGGCAAGGCCCTGGATCTCAAGGTCGATACATTCGTATCGCTCATCAGCATCTGGAACTTCCTGGGGAGAGTGGGGTCGGGATTCGCGTCGGAGATCGCCCTCCAGCGCTGGGGCGTGCCAAGGACCCTATTCTTCTCGCTCGTGATCGGGGTGGCCGCGATCGGGCACTTGGTCATCGCGCTCAATCTGCCCGGCGCGCTCTTCGCTGGATCCATCCTCATCGGCCTCACGTTTGGCGCGCAGTGGGCGCTCATGTTCACGATCATCTCCGAGATCTTTGGGCTCAAGTACTATGGCACGCTCTACAATGTGGGCGGCGTCGCGAGCCCCGTGGGGAGCTATCTCCTCTCCGTGCGCGTTGCCGGGACGCTCTACGACAAGGAGGCGGCCAAGGATCGAGCAAGGAGCGCGACTGTGGGGAGAATTCTTGGGAGAATTTTGGCCGTCGCCAGTGATACCGGGAACAATTGCAAGGGCGCCCATTGCTTTCGCGTCACATTCTTCATCATGGCCGCAGTAGCAGTGCTTGGCAGCGCTACTGCGCTGATTCTCACTGCCAGGACGCGGCGATTCTACCGCAAGATCCACCTCAAGATGAAAGAAACCACATAAACCCTAAATTTTCGAAAAACTTGTAATAGCAATAGCGGAGAACCCTAAAATCAAAAAGAGATTATAGGGCATTTATTTTCTTCCTTCCGCCATGGCGGCGAGTCTCTTCGGCATGTTCTTGCATCTCGTCGGTAAGCGCCTGATGTCTCTGCTGGATCTCCTCTATCGCGATCGCCGCAGCGTCGCAAATCGCGACTCGGATAATCTCCTTCGTCTTCAATGTTTTGGTCACGCGCCGCCTCTCCCCGGGCGACTATGGAGTAAGAATGGCGATTTCTTGTGGTTTTTTCGTGATATTTTCCTTGTCTGTGTAGTATTCTCTGCAATTCCAGCTCTTGATCACCACGATTTTATTCCTGAGCCGGGAAGGATTCCGGAGAGGTTGTCTTCGAAGCAATAACGAAGGAGAGAATGACAAGGACGGGGGAACCGCGTAAGCTCGAGTTTCTTTTGTTTGTAGCTTGTCTTCTCACTGTGATTACTTCGACAGTGAATTCGCAAAGGTTGCCAGCGTTGCCTGGCTCACTGTCCCGGCAGGCATTGCGACATCAATCGCTTCATGTGCCATTGTTGTTCTGTGGAAAAGAGTGGAGGTCTCCAGAGCTTACGAAAGAGCTGTCATAATCTACGGTAACCCCGAAAGCATTTTTAATCTTATGCCATCGCTTGTGATTGATCAGGTTGTGCGGCTGTGTTTGAGATCTTGAGCGAGCCATTCTATATAATCGCGCAGAATCTGTGCCTTGTAAGGTTGCGTGTTGTTATTGAGACATCAGCTTCACTCGTTCGGTGCTTTACATCGTATGGTCTGCTCGTCAGAGGAATAGGAAAAGTATGGCCTGCTCTTTGCTCTTGGGATTTCCTTGCTAACAAAAAATCCAGGAGGGAGGACTCGTCTTTGCGTATGGTCAAGTGGCATATGGTTTGTGCCTCTTCCTTGGGTATTGGGGATATTTTCTCGTTTTCCACCAAAGTACCAAGCGACTTTTAAACAGGTTTGCAAGCAGTGTAAAGGCTAAGCTCTTACTTATGGATGATGTTCATGTCGTGCAGGAGGGTTCTCTGTCATCCTGATAAAAAGCTGCTATCAATGTGTGGACTGTTCACACTTCAATCGATTCAGAAGCTGGTTCTCCAAGAAGGGGAGAAATTTGTCCTGGTTTTCTTCGAAACAACGTATAATCAAGGAGTCTACGGTTTAGTCGAGAACCTTGGTAAGTTTCTGACTCTTTTCAACTCAAACCTTAGACGATTTCCAACGCAGGAAGTTTAGTAGTTCGTACTCTTTTGCAACCTCTAGAGGAAAGCGTTTTCACCATGTTCTCGAAGGCTTTCCAAGGTAAAAGACAATAATGGTATGGGATCTTAAGAACATTGTCCTGTTCAGAAAAGTCCACGAAACAACAGCAGAACTTGGAGAACAGCTTTGTACTGGCCACGAAACTCGTCAGCATTGTAGGTAAGCTTCACGTTTTTGTAGCTTGTTTTCACCTTTCCAAGGCCTCACGTTCGCGGCGTTCGGTCCGAGCTATTCGTATGTTCTGCTAAAGCTACTGTACGGTGAACGATGGAGCGATGGGGAAGCTCCTATTGCTCTTGGTGTTTACTCCATTTACGTCATGGTTCTCGCGGTAAATGGTACGCTTCTCTTTATTCTTCGGCGCCTTAATTGTGTTAAAATGATTCCTGACAGGTGTTACGGAAGCCTTCGTGCACGCTGTTCTCACCAAGGAGCAGCTTGTCTCAGCAAACAGTTGGCTCCTCATGTTTTCGGTGATTCACATCGGTGTCAGCCTTGTTTCCGTCCGAATGTGGGGCTGCATTGGACTAATACTTGCAAGTGCCTTCAGTATCCTTCTTTCAGTATCTTGTTTTCTTTCGCTCCTTTACGTGACTTTGCTAGATATGATCGTCCGTATTGTGTACTCGACAGTTCACATTCAACGACTTTTGAAGGTAGAAAAAAGTCGAATCATTCAGTGGAGTTTCTTCGTTTTGTCAAACTCTCAAGATATTGACAACTTTTGACAGGGAGCACTGTGGAGGGCATTGCCCGCAAGACAAGTCTTCCTCGCACTGGCTGGAGGAGCTGTTGTGGCTCGTTTAACTGAGGGTCTGATTCTAGAAAAGAACGAGCGATTCAACAAAACAGTTGGCCTACACGTCGCAGCGGGAGTCTTTTCCGTATCTGTCCTCGCCACTTCAATGTAATGTATATCTTTCCATCTGTAGGTAGTTTTTGTTTTTAAAATGTTGACTCAGACTTGGACTTTGTCTTCGTTCACCAGATACAAACACGAGTCGTCCGCTATCCAGGAACTTCGAAACAACTTTCTTCCACGCAAGGACCGCAAAGACGAATAAACATTAGGGGGAGGATTCAAACACGCAACCCTTTGAGGTGAAAGTTTGGGCTCCGCCGCGAGGTTTGTTTTTCGTTTATCAGCATCAGGGAGAAATTTCAACGAGAAAAAGGTTGAAGCTTCTAACTGTAAAACAGCGGATCATTAAGGAAAAAATTCGCTCAGGTAGATACATCACACCGATTATCTTCTTAAGAAACAGTTCAAGGGGAATATGCGGACTATTGCGTATAGAAAGCCGAGAGGAACTCCAAGCTGCGAGCCAAAGCAGCATTTCGGCAACTGTTTGTGAAACAGATCTGAATCTCAAGCCGTAGCAACTCCAGCACATCAGCAGCAATAGCAACAGCAGCAGCAGCAGTAATTCTGGATTTAAGCAGCAGCAGTAAAGTTCCCATGGTTTTGGATATCTCGAGGAGCAGCAGGGAAGCTTGAAACGAAGTTTGAGACACTACGGCAGGATTCTGGTTCTGGAAGAATGAGGTCCGTGGCACTAGCTCTTGGTAACAGCTTGAGGTCCCGATGGATGGCGGTGGTGGCAGGCATCTTCATCATGTCCGTCTCAGGTTCCATCTATGCGTTTGGAGTTTACTCCGCCGCTCTCAAGCGAGCTCTCAACTATAACCAGAAGACTCTCACCACCGTTGGCTTCTTCAAGGACTTCGGCAACATTGGGATCTTTGCTGGGATCATAGCGGACCTCTGCCCGGCCTGGGTGGTGCTCTCCATCGGCGTGGCTTTCAACTCTGTTGGCTATCTCATGATCTGGCTGGCCATGACTCACCGCACCCGCGCTCCGGCTCTCTGGCAAATGTTCGTCTACATCACCATTGGAGGGAATTCCGTGGCCTTCACTCACTCCGGAGCTCTCGTCACTTGCGTCAAGAACTTCCCACTCCACCGGGGGATGATAGTCGGGCTTCTCAAAGGATTCCTGGGCCTCAGCACCGCCATCCTCTCGCTCTTCTACCGGGCCATCTATGGCGACCACCCGAGCTCGTTCGTGCTGCTCATCGTCTATCTCCCGCTCGCAGTGATCCTGAGCTTCATGTTCTTCATCCGCCCCCTCCCAGTCCCCTCGGACGGAAAGATCGAGGACGAGGCCCGGGTGTTTTACCGGCTGCTGGCCTTCGAGCTCCTGGTGGCCGGTTACTTGATGCTGGTGATCCTCGTGCAACACTCAGTGAAGCTTGACAAGGCCGTCAACGGGGGGCTCGCTGGGCTCCTCGCGCTACTCCTGTGTATCCCGTTCGCGATGGTGGTGGCGATGGAGCTGCGGAAGCTCCGAGCCGAGAAGCCTGTGATAGACGTGGAGTCGAGCAAAGACGAAGGTGGGGACAAGGCTGGTGGTCCGATACTCGACGGTGCATACGGAGGTGGCAGCAAAGACAGGGACAAAGCACTGGCAAAGGTGGAGCCCCGAGAGTCCTCGGAAGAAGACGAGGCCGTCACTGTTCCGCTGGAGGCTCCACCGCCAGCGCCAGTGCCAGAGGCAGCGCCAGTACTCCGCCGCCGCAGCATCGTCCAGAGAGCCGGCGAGCTCTTCAAGACGCCACCCATCGGCAGCGACTTCACAGTGTGGCAGGCTCTCGTCCACCTCGACTTTTGGCTGCTGTCCGCGGCGTCCACCGCGGGGCTGGGAGCCGGGCTCATGCTCATCGACAACCTCGGCCAGATTGGAAGCTCCTACGGCTACGACGCCGAGAGAACCAACACCTTCGTGTCCCTCACCAGCATCTGGAACTGCCTGGGCCGAGTTGGATCCGGCTTCGTGTCCGAGTACTTCGTCCAGCGCAGTGGCCTCGCCCGGCCCTTCTTCTTCGCGCTCGCGCTGGGACTGTCCGCTATCGGCTACCTCACCATCGCCCTCGATCTTCCTGGAGCTCTCTTCATCGGCTCCATCCTCATCGGCCTGTGCTTTGGCGCGCAGTGGGCGCTTCTTCACATCATCATCTCGGAGATATACGGGCTCAAGTACTACGGGACGCTGCAAAGCATCATCGCCATGGCCAGTCCGCTGGGGACGTATCTCCTGTCCGTGCGGGTGGCGGGGTATATGTATGACAGGGAGGCCGCGCGGCAGTTGCCGCGCGGTACTGCGGAGTCGTGCCATGGTACCGTGTGCTACCGGACAAGCTTGTTGATTATGTGCGGGGTGTGCTGCGCGGGGTGCTTGTTGACGCTGGTGATATCGGTGAGGACGAGGAGGTTTTACAAGAGGGAGGTTTTCGAGACGCTCAAGGCCAAGAAGATTGAGCTGGTTAATGCCAAAAAAGCATCTAGGTGAGAATTTGTACACATTATATCAAAATTTAAGACAAAAGAATTGTCTTAAGCTTTAAGACAAAAGAATACATAAACACATATATGGCAGTTTATTTTTATTTTGAATTGCACACAATCTCATTTTGCTTAGAATAATAACAATTGAAAAGTGATTGTGGGGATGCCAAATACGAATTCAATCTATGTCAGTTGGGATTGCCAAATCAAATATGAAATGTTTTTTGGGTGTAAAATTGGGTGGAAAAATTGGGTGGAAATTGCATTAAGTAGCAGAATGTCAATCCACTCGCAATCGTCAACAACTACATGCACCTAAGTGTTAATCTAGAGTGTGATTGATCTCTACCTTAGAATTATGAAATTATCAATGGATTGAAAAGATTATAGCACTGTGTGGCATGTTAGATGAGATGGGTTTTAGCTGCTGTCTACTGCCTGCTGCACCAATTCAGCAACAGCATTGCCATGTTAGAGTGCTCTAAACAATTGGTTTGGATTTGTCAATTGTTATTACTACAAGCAAAATATGGAGGCTTTAGATTGATGGAAGTTTATGGCCAATACTCTTTGGCATAATGTTTGGTTTAGCTGGTTTCAAATCAAATCTATAGATCAATAATCTCATCATGCATTTTTCCCAAATTGAAAAAGAGGACTCACTTTTCTTGTGAGTCAACTAATGCATGTTATAACAAATTCAAGCAACACATGTATGGCAATTGTGATTGAGCATGCCTGTATTATATGTGCATGCATACATTACATGTTTTCACACATGCACATGTGGATTAATTTTTTTAATTTTGAGTTGTATGCAAAAATATTAACTTTTAGATTGCAGCTGAAACATAATTGTATGTATAATTTTTGTGTGCATGGAGCATGAACTAATGCCATGTCATCTTAAACAACGTTATGTCATTACAAATTTAATAAAGGATTTTTTTTTCATTCTTGTGTCATTGAGTCTCCTATCATTCTGCATAGTTATGCTTCATTTATCATGACTTTGAAGTGTATTTTGATATCTCAAGTGTATTTTGATTGTACTGCACCCTAATGTAATTTGTTTATAATAAGGTGCCTTAATTTAGGTAGCAATTAATTAGCTTATATGTAATTGATGAATGTAAAGGTGAGGGTAAAACATTTCTTTAGATGCTTGGGGTGTTACGTAAAGTAGTTTTTCCATGACCAAGTGAATCTTATTGTAATTGCAATAAGGCATTAACTTCATTGATTTCTTGTGTTCCTTTGCTTTTTATGGCTTTTTTGTTTCTCCATGTGCATCCCTGCTGACATATTTGTGTTTAAAACACATAGTCACACCACCAAAATAATGTTTTTCAAATTGCTTAAGTTCTGTAGATGGTGCCATCCCAACTAGATAACCACATGCAATCACGTTAATAATACTTGAATTTCTTAATTTACCTTTATGGGATAGATGAACCGAAATTCTCGACTAAAATAGAATATTCTAATTTTCCAGAATTTTTTAAAATTCTTATTCGTCGTTTAGTTTGACCCGATTCGATCAAACCTTTAATGTGGCTTCAGCGAGCGACTTGGATTGAAAACTGAATGCCTTGCCTGCCAGTTAGATCCACCTAGCGTCATTAGTCGTAGGCCCAAGGCTGTCTGGAACTGGAACTATTCCAACCACTTGTTCGTTTGATACGGGCGGACGGGGATATGATCCAGCAATAAACCTGGCAAAAGAAAAAGCAAGAGAACAGATAGTGGAGATCTCAGATAGCTCTAGAGAGCGCCATAGCCTGGAATTAGTGGAGGAAAGGCAAAAAGGAGGACGCTGCAAAATGGCGGAGCTCCGTGATCAATGAGTCATTCATTTTCATTCATTCATATATTGTTTTCATATATTCATGCTTCTTGGGGACCATGTAAACAGTATATGAATGAAGCTTTTGGGCCATGAACGAGACCAGTAAGACATTTTGTAGAAACCATTTTTATTTCCTCGACACGACAGCGAAGCACCGCCCTGTCCGGAAACACGAGGCAAACCAGTGCCGTACATAAAATATCTTAAATTATCTTTTAAAATATTCTAAAATCCATTTTTCTTCGTCGTTCTTTCGATGGTCATCATCGTGCGCTGGTCCCATGCAATCTCAAGCTTCCTTGTTTCTTATTCGTCGTGTAGTTGAATCGATCATATACTTTTCGTACCTTAGCGAGCGACTTGGATTGGAAACCGAATTGCTCACCTAGCATCATCAATGACCGGCCCAAGCGCAACCAACACCACCACCAGGAACTGGACCACGCTCTTTAAAATCTCTCAGAGAACTACTCCAGCTAGCTGCCTCTCGACCTGTTCATTGGATACTGGCGGACGGGGATATGATCCAGCAATAAAACCTGGCAAAACAGAACATTGTCAGGCAAAAGTTCTTGAAAAGTGGAGAGAGCAAGTACCTGTGTATGAATGCGGGTAGCCCGGTTGGTATATCGCGCGTAAATCTGGAGAGGCTTGCGGCGGCTGTTGCTGCTGCTTCCTTTGATGCTGAGAGCTGAGCGGCTGATTTAATCGGCTAGGGGGCGAAGGGAAGGGAACGCGATGCGATGATGAGGCGTGATGCGTCTCATCAAACGAGCCATGCAGCATTGACTTACCGCCGGCGGCTTGAGAAGAATGCAGTGGCTCGCTTAGCCTGCGATTGGAAAGAGAATGTAGTGTCAGTGACATGGTTATGCGTGAGATAAAACAACTAGACTGTACCTTGAAGCCTTACCATGGTAAGGACCAGGGACTCCGTGTCCAGGTATTAGCCTGTTTGTCCCTCCAGCCGGAAGGTGCCTATGGCCGCTGTCATCTTCTAGCAAGTCTATACTGCAGAGACCAAAACCAAAATATCACGTAAGAATCCAGGTGTAAATCTTTCTAACCTGTCGTTTGGAAACCAGTCACCAGCGTCTTGATGAGACTCCGCGGCTTCGACTATAGTCTCCGATGTTGAGAGGTAAGATGCCAATGAACCAGCTTTGTAGCTGCTCGACTTCATTGCTGGTCTCAAGTGGGACTGTCCATAAGGTCGTGAGTAACTCCCAGATGGTCCAGCCTCGAGGTGGCTACCGTGTGCTTCAAACGAACCATTCGCTGGCATATGCTGCCAGGAACCGTCGTATCCAGGACTTTGGTTCATTGGAGCATATAAACCTCTCCGTTGCTTATAATGACTCACGGAAGCCGCTTTCCCGTATCGTGCTGGAGATGGAGGCCCGCATCTTCCAGGTGAGGAGCCTGGAGAAGGAAACTGCGAGCTCGGTGGGGTGAACTGCGACGGACTCCCTCCGAGCGACATAGGCGTGAAGACACTGCTAGAAGGGCTTCTCCCAAGTTGTCCATAACCAGCTGGTATAGGAGGATGTAACCTTCGCCATTGTTCGTATCCTATTTGAGGTGGCGTCGGGTAATTGCAATACATATTGCTGGCTTCAGTGTAGCTTCCTGTGTAGCTGCCACCCATACCATATCCATCACAGCTTCCGTAGCTACCGCAGCTACCGTAGCTGCTAGCAAAAGAAAATTGTCCTCCGTAATACTGAGGGCTGCTATACGGTGGCAGGGGGACGGGAATATGCGAGACCTGAAGAACCAGAGCGTTAAGTAAAAAAATGACAATTCACGTGTGCACAAACCTGAGGGGAGAGCCCCGCACCGAACCAATGGCCCGCTCCAGGATTATGCTCCACAGTCATTGGATGACCAACAGGCTGCAGAAAAAAACGATCAGACTCGACACAAGGAAAACCATAGCAATTACAGTTCGAGGCGTCTCAGGAAGTGGTTCAAAAGGGCCGGTGAAAGGTTGTTCGGTGACAAAAGGATGTTGTGCCGCCTGAAATGCAACGTGGCTGATGTTATTGGAAAGGTAGACAAAAAAATAAAAAACAGGAGACAAACCTGGTGAGGCGTCCAACGGCTCTTCGGGTCGAAGCGCACAAGACCCCGTAAAAAGTCCAAGAAGCTTAATCGTCTCTGGCGTTCTGAATCGAACATGCAGTATTACATCATCCAGCTTAACGAAATCTTCAGACAGTTACCAGCTTCTTGCTCCTCCGCCGACAGTGAACTTTTGTACGGATACTTCGAAATAATGTCTTCCAGCTTCGTATGTCTAAAATAGCTTTTCCCAACTAGAGGTTCCTTTGATTCCCTCTGCAGTGAGCATAATGACGTGAACTCACAATAACAAGATGGATTGCAAAACTTACAGCTTTAACTTCGCTTACTGTAAGAAACTGATACACAGCCATACCACCGCTTGAAGGAGGAGCAGCAGACACAGTTTTAAAATACTTGCTCGTGTTTGCGGAATCCCGTAGAAGCTGATCCGGCGGTTGACACCTGAACAAGAAAAGAATTATTTTTGAAAATCAAACCGTCAAACATACCCCAGTGTATCAATCATGCGTCGGAGTAAATCATACTCTGATTCACCCGAAAACAAAGGTAGGCCAAGGAAAAGCTCAGCTGCCACGCATCCAAGCGACCACATGTCGATTGCGGTGGTATATGGATGACCAAGAACAACTTCTGGAGACCGGTAGTATCGACTCTGCAGAAGTCAATAGAACTGTTCTTCATGCGTTCTCGGCATTGGAGATGATTACCTGTATGTATTTGTATACGGTACGGTGCTCTAAGCACGCAGAGCCAAAATCAATGAGCTTGATTTCACCCGACTTGAGACTAGAAGAAGAAATCACCGTCAGCCCAGAAATTGAGCGACACCTCATATGTCACCTGGTGGAAAGCAGAATGTTTTCCGGCTTCAAATCGCAATGAATTACACCTGCGTTCCGAAGAACACCCAAGGAGTCAAGAATCTGAAAGAAAAGGCTCTTATATCGTAAGTTTTCGTATGAACGCCAGTACCTGTTTTGTGAAGATCCGAAGCAGATGCAACGAAATCCCCCTGTGACGGTTGACTTTGATAAGCTCGTATCTAAAAGGCACAGATCGAGCGAATCACGAAACGGAAAAAAAAAGAAAGGAGAGGGGCAAATGGCATACAGGTTGTGGGAGAGCAGCTCGAAAGCAATACAAAGGTGTTGCTCGAACAGAAACCAGTCCAAAATGCGTACAATATGGTGTTGATTGTCTGGATCGAAGTCCCGATTGAGCTGGTGAAAATCTCTACATTAGGTGGCATTCTATGTACGCAAAAAAGGATCTTACCATTTTCAATATCTCAATCTCCACCAGAGCCTGTTGATAGTAGGCAGGTTGGTTCTTGATCACTTTCACGGCAACGTAGCCATTCTCGCGATCGGACCAGCATTTTACAACCTGACCAAATGTCCCTTGGCCAAGCATTTCCTTGACAACATATCTGCCAAAACAGGCTCAGCTCGCGCTCAAACTCCAATTCCACAAACCTGTGCTTGGGGTTGTAAATGATCCCATTCACTGCGAGAATGAGATCTGAGTTCTTATTGTCCAAACCATTGTTAGACACTCCAGCGGATGGGTTCGTCAAGTACCTCTTTGGATTAAAAGTATCCGAGTACGTGAAAGAGGGATTGCAGGAGCGATAAGTTTCGACTATAAATTTTGTAAGCCTAACACATATCTGCGACAAGCACGGAGAAACGTGTAAATTCTCGTGTGTTACGTGAGCAAAGTACCAAAAAATCCAAAGAACAACGTACCCGTGGAGGAGCTATGGCGCGGAAGCTCGTCTCTGGCGAGCTCCGCATGGAATTATAAGGCTGGAAGCCAAGAACCCTGGGCCGCCAGCTCGAAGGCTTGATGCCGGCGCCCGGAATCCCATCCGGACCTTCAGAAGACATCCAAGCTCCCGGGTTCTTCTCCCCGACCATGCCTCAAATACCGAAATTCCTGCCGTGATCCTCCAGGAGCCTCATTTTGCCCAGCCGATCCTTCCACAGCAGCCTGCCCTGCTCGATCGTCACGGCCACGCAGCGCAATCCCCCCAAAACCCTAGGCGCTCCCCCCATATTTCCTCAAACCCTGAGCATGGCGCTGCGCCAAAATCCCTCTCATCCCAGCGTCGCGGGCCTCACCCTAGCGCGATCGATCCAGCCGCCGCCGCCGCCGCTGCCGCCACTCCAGCTTGCCGCAGCTCCGGCCGCCATAGCTCCTCCACGCATCCCATTGACATTGCTTCTCGACATCATCTTTGTATTTTGTTTTTTTATCCCAGGGCTAACTGAGGACGCAAAACCCGCAATGCAATTTTGTGAACTGCCACGCCGGACGCCACGCCACCCAGAGCATCTAGACACGTCGCCGGATTGTGCGGCCGCGCCAGCGCCACGTCACACACAAAAGTATATCCACGAACAATCCGCCAAACTTTAAAATCCCGCGAACTCTCACGCTCTCTCTGTTTCTTGGAAGTGTTTCTCTCAACCTAGTCAAACAAAACCTTCTTTAATCGCTTCACTGCATCGAGGGCCGTCCTGTTTGTAGGCTCCAAGACGAGAGCTTGCCGAAAATCTATCAAGAAAAACCATAGAAAATGGAAGCATTAGCACCGACGATCTAAAAAAATCGCGAGAAAACAAAGATACCGTCGTGCGCTTCGTGGTAAGAGCCCAGAGCTTCCCTTGCAGTGCCTCTTCTAAGGTACGCTTTAACATTCTGTAACACACGTACACGCAAATGCCATGAGTGCTTATAGATAAGAACACACAAACTTTGACAAATGCGTACCTTCTTGTCCAGATCAATGGCCTTGCTGCAATCCTCCTCAACTTGTAGGAAGCTGCAGCCAATAAAAAATAAACAGATTACACGTCCTGAGCTTGCCGGCCAAATGTTGAAAAAGAAAAACGTAAAAAAGAGACTTTTTCTTTCTTTTACCTGCACATCGAGAGATGAGCAACAGCCCTGTTGTTGTAGTACGTGCTGTTCAAAGGATCTAAGCGAATAGCTTCCGAGTAATGGCTGACAGCCTTGTGGTAGTCCTTGTTCTTGAAAGCGAGATTTCCCTGCAATGCAACGCAAAGGTCAGTTGAGATCTATACTATAGAGAGGTGGCGTACGAAAGTACCTTCTCTTTCGCGGCTTCCGCCGCGTTTGTTTTCGCGTTAACTAGCGGCAGCGCACTGTTTTTGAGGTCCTCTTTCACCATCACATGCAGTGCAAGGACCGCATCAAGTAAAAAGCGATCACCACCTTGTCTTGCCATTACCGAGAATGCAAGAGGCGCATCGTCAAAAGTCCCTACAGGCATCGACACCTAGAAAGGAAAACGAAGTTTAAGTCTGCATATACGGAGGACCACACAGCCTCACCTGACAGCAGCCGGACATCCCAGCAATCGCAAGCAACGCAAATGCTTTTTCACGATAGTCATCCAGCGCTTTTCCCTTCGTGTTTAGCTTTGGTGGTGGACCAGGAGTTGTGGGAAGCACAAGTAGAACATCGTCCTGCAAAGCCACCTTGGCGTCAACAAATGCGATAAACATCATGATATACTTGCCTTCATAAGATCGCTCATTGCAGCGAACACTTCAGCCTTCACACTCATAGCAAGAACAATTTCCTCTGCAGTGGTCTTCAATGCGGCTCTTACTCTTTCGAGAATACCAGGTCCCAGATCTGGGTTCACTCCGCTCAGCCAAGCTTCATGATTTGTCTTGAATTCAAACCTGAGATGGCAAACAATAAATGAAGCGGTTGCAAGAAAACAGTACCTCTGTATCAAACTGAGAGCTTTCGATAATCCTACAAGTGGAGAAGACGCTGTTTCATCGCAAAAGGCCTGCAGGCTGGGTGACTTGCTTAGGAGATATGGGCCAATATCCATGTTAGACATTGTTTTTTCTGCAAAACGCGCCGAAGTTGGTTCTCTAATCTGAGTAAACACAACCACTTACTACCAAGCACCCGTTCAAAGCATCGGGCAACGACCGCCTTGGTTCGCTCCGGAGGAGCAGAGCTGAGGGTAAAGCAGTCATCTGCCATGATCACCCGTTGTGGTTGTCTGGGTTCCATGAATGGTTGCTGCAGCAAAGCGTAGCCAACTTGTCGAAGAACATTCGGCTCCTTTGCAAACCATCCTGACATTACAGAATCAAGACATATAACATGAACTTGAAAAAAAAGGCCTACCAACGGTATCAAAGCTCTGAGCCATCGGAATAACTCCAGACGTCGAGATCGTTCCATGCGAAGGTCGGAACCCGATGATGCCACAGAAGGCAGCAGGAACTCTCACACTTCCGCCAGTATCAGTTCCTAGACAAACATACCTGCTTAAGCTAAGACGATTTAAACAACTTTAACTCACCTAGAGCAAAATCAACTAGGCCAGCAGCCACGGCCACAGCAGAACCGCTAGAAGACCCACCCGGGACTCTGCTCGGTGACGCGGGATTGATAGGCGTTCCATAATGCTTGTTCTCACCATTGATACTGCTCGCAAAAGAGAATCGAAACTGTGTAAGCACCTAGTTCTCACGAAAAAGAATCACCTGTAAGCTAGCTCATCCATATGCGTCTTTCCAATGCACGCCGCTCCAGCACGAACAAGGAGCTGGACAACGAAAGCGGTTTGTGTCGCGGGTCCATGGGTCTTGAGCCAGTCGGGGTTTCCAAAACCCGTGATAAACCCCTCGATATCAAAACTGGAAAGAACACACGCACAAGAAAGCTTTGTGACGCAGCACAACAAAGAGAACATACATGTCCTTGACGGCGAAAGTGAGCCCGGCGAGCGGCGGCGGAGCTCTGGGAGGCGGCGGGGCTGGCGGCGGATTGAGCTCCAGGTACTGGATGAATGCCCCGTTGCCGGCGCGGACGCCCTTTCGCTGGCGCCGGGAGAAGATGAGCAATCCGGCAATGCCAATTCCCACAAGCACCAGCAGGTTTGTGGAAGTGGACATCGCCCGCGGCGAGAAGGATTTCCAGCTCTCCGCGCTCATACAAGCATGCTTTTCTCGTCAATCGCCAAGAGACCCCCCCCCCCCCTCTCACCTGGAGAATCGTCTTTCCCCCAAAACCCTAGCAATCTCTCACTGCCGCCATACCTAAGAACCAGGAGAGTGAAAATATCTCTCGCCAGACAAATTTCCCTTCATTACATGCCCTATAGAAAAACGGGAAATATTCCTTGATACCCTCAAGAACCCTAATTCGCTGACCCGGAGAATATTCTTTGATACCCCTCAAGAAACCTAACTCTAAAAAACCAAGAAAGACAAATATTTACAGCGTCTCACTTGCGCCGATCGATCGATCGATCGATTCACGATCAGACCTGCGCAGCGGCGGGAGGATTATCAGCCGCGGCATCGCCATCCTCGCTCTTGGTCCCCGCCAGAGCATCGTTGCTCAAGCCGCCGCCGCCGCCAGCGCCATCGCTCTCCTCTGGAAATCTCACCACCACCACCGGGCAGACGCAGTGCTGGACGCAGTAATCGCTGACGCTGCCCAGCCGCCCCTTCCTGGCGGGCGGCTTGGAAGCCCCAAACCCCCGGCTGCCCAAGATGAGGGCATTCACGCCCAGGCGCTCCACCTCGAGGCACAGCCGCTCCTTCATGTCGTGGTCCTTGACAATGTGGATTTTGTGTGGGAGCTTGGATTCCAGCAGCGGCCGCGCCAGATCCAGGCTCTTGGACGACGTGAATGCGTCGAAATCGTCCTCCATCTTCTGCTGGGATTCCTCGTCGTCGAAGGACACGGCGTGGTCGACCACGCCCCAATCGGCGCCATAGAGAACGCTGGTGGGGCGGACATGAAGGAGGATCACGCTATCGCCCGGGCGGAGATAGTTCTCCACCGCCCACCGCACGGCATACGCACTCTCATCGCTCAAATCCACCGCGATTGCGATCTTCCTCTGCCCGGTGCTCGCCATACTCCCCCCAATCCAACCCTAGCTCTAGAGAATTCCTAGATCTTGCTCACACTTCCATGAATGCCATATCCAAATCCCTAGGTTATAATTTTTAGGGTTCTAGGGAAAGCGCAATATATTTTGCTCGTTTGCTCGGCTATGGCGGAGGAGGGGAGCGGCGGCAGCAGGGGCAGGATGGTCGATTCCGTCGGGAGGCCAATCGCGAAGCCTCGCCCTCACCGCTGCGACGATCGGCTCGAGGACTTCATCAATGTGCGTAAGCTGCTGCCCGCATTCTCGTTTGTCAGGGTTTTCTTCTGCTTCTTCTTTCACGATTTTAGCTCTTCTTTGTTGCATTGTGGTGATCAGTCGCTTTTTGAGGGCTGGAGCTGTGTGCCTGGGCGTGCAAAACTTTGGTGGCGATGCATGCGCTCTGAGCCTGGGTATTTTCTCGATCTCTAGTGCTGTCTTCTTTTCTCTGTTTTTTCCTCTGTGATGAATGTGATAAGCTTGCAGTCAAGAGCCAGATGATCCTTACGTTTACCACGAACCGAAGCAGCGTAAATTTTTTCTTTCTTCATTTTCTTTTGAATCGTCTTGACATTGTTGCTTTGTTCTTATGGTTTTTGCAGGTAAATAGTAGATCACAATGTCAGCTTTAGTAGAAGATGACGCAAATGATAGAAGTTTGGCCAACAAAGACGATTCTACGAGCTTGTAGCTACAAGAATCGGCGCTGCATGAGCTCGGTGTCGTTAGTGGCACACCGCAGGTCTCTACCCTTTAGTGTTTTTGGAGAGTTTAGATGTAGTTCCCCAAAATTGTGGTGGCTATCTGCGACGCTTGCTGGTTAGTATATCATTTTTACTTTGACAGGTCATAACCAGTTCTTTATCCAGGGCGTAACTGCCGGTTTTGTACTTCGTCAGGTGATTCATCGAATGCATTCGTAAGTCCTGTTATTTTTTCTTTTATTTTTTGTAAGAGAAATTCTTTCACAGAAGATCGACGATTCGAAGCTTGTCAAAGCTATTGTCTACGAGGCTACCAAGGGCTTTTGCAATTCCGCTGGCAGTACAAGAAAGTAAATTGTTCTTTCTTTGTTTTTCTGGTCTCTTACTTACTTTCAGGTTTAGCGACTTTCTACGATCGCAGCTTTCAATACATGCTGAGAGAGGAGAAAGAGACTTGAAAAGTTTTGAAGTCATTCAAAATTTGGCCCAAGATGCTCAGTCTTACGGTCAAATGGACTGTGAGCAGAGAATTCAACTCCTTGACAGGGTATTTCACTTGAAACCTATGATGTTTTGAGTGAATGTGAATGTACAGGTCGCGCAGATCCAGGGGTTTTCTTGCGCCAGAGATATTGTTGATCACGAGATTGCAGTGGTCGAAGCTTCTCAAGATCTTTCTCATGAGAACTGCGTGAAAAGGGATGAAGGTATTTCATCTTCCCAAGCTTTAACTCAGAACCCTTCGATTGTGTATGGAAGCAGTGAGCCAGTTGATCTTTTTAGCTCAAAAAAGATTGTGGTTCGCCCAGCGAAGCAAAAGCCGGATGTTAACAAAGCTATACAAAGTTCAAGCAAATCACTACTGGAGTTACCTCCAAGCAAAGAACAAAGCCAGCCATCGCCATCCCAACGTACTAAGAGCGTGTCCAGTTTGCTATATCAGGCCTCAGAGACCAGAAGCATTGATACAGAGAACGAGAGATGGAAACTGGACACGCTAATAAGCGACATGAAATGCTTCACGCCATATCAACGATCGCAGCTACAAGAAAACGGCTTTTACACGGTAAACGTCGCATTCTCCTCGAAAGTGTCTGACAAGTTTTTGTTTTAGGCTCGTAGTCTACTCAACCATTTTCCTCGTGCTCATGTGAGCTTTGAAAGCCCCACCGACACTTTGGAGGATGGACAATCTGTGGCATTGTTTGGGACAATTGTTATGACCAGGTAAAACTATTGTGACACGTCTTCAAAAACTTACTACGGGACACGTTTCTGCAGGGCCTCGAAAATCAAAGACACTCTGGCTATGCTTGAAGTCATTGTGAACTGTAAGATTGCCCAGGAATGCCTAAGGCCTTGTGATGACGAAGTTGATGAAAATACCGTATTCCTGCACATCAAGAGGTTCTTTCAAGGCCCACGTTTTACATCGAGCTGGTTTTTGAACAAAACGGCCTCGGGTTACCCTGAAGGTTCCAAAGCAGCAGTTAGTGGCAAGGTATTGCATCGCACACTTTGATATTGCTTAACAGTTTCTTCTCACCTTACAGGTGAAAGCGATGAATAGAAAATCTCACTTTTTGCTAAAAGAGTATGCGGTTAAAGTTATTGACGGCGAGGATTTTGACCAGCTTCGAAACGACGGAGAAGCATATCCTGTGTACTCATCGAAGGGTCTTTTAAATCCGAAGAAGATACAAGTGTTTATACAGAGGTAATTAACGCAAACCAGTGCAGCTGATTTTTGAAAGCTGCATAGGTTGCTGAAAGGATTACCGACGGATATAGATCCTCTTCCCACTGAAGTGCGAGACAAGTACGATCTTCTGAGTATAGAACAGGTTTGTCTTTATTAACGTTGTTGTTTCTACTTACATGCCTCCATTTCAGGCCTATTCCACCCTTCATCAGCCTACTAATCTCCAAGGGGCAAATGTAGCTAGGCGAAGAATCGTGTTTGACGACTACTTCTATCTTCAGGTCTAGTAAGATTCTAGTGAACCATGAGGCTGATGACCATATATATCTTACAGTTGGCGTTTCTTCTCCAAAGAAACTGCTTGAGAGGAAGTACCGTAAACAATGAGCTGGAAATGGATAAGTGGTCATCTCTAAGTCTGAAAGTCTTGAATGCGCTTCCTTTCAAGTTGACTGCTGGGCAGATCAAGGCTGCCTCTGAGATCATGTGGGATTTGCGTCAGCAAGCTCCAATGAGCCGTCTCTTACAGGTGCATATTTTGTTCCTTGCTTTGGTATGCTTCTGACTTCACGTTCATTGCAGGGAGATGTTGGCTGTGGGAAGACTATAGTGGCATTTCTCGCACTTCTTGACGTGGTCAGTTCAGGATACCAGGTATTTTTCATGAAATTCGTCACCTTTCTATACTAATACCGTATCGCGCAGGCAGCTCTTATGGCACCCACGGATTTTGTAGTCTCGCAACATTACAAACAGTTCCTGTCCTGGCTTGAAGTGCTGGATGAGAAGGATAGACCAAAGATAGCGCTTCTTTCCGGATCTTTAAGTGCGGGTGAAGCTCGTCTAGTCCGAGAAGTGAGATTTACTCAAATTTTTCTGCTTATTACATTTCTTTTCCTTCCAGGGTATCGCCAACAGAGAAATCTCTCTAATTCTCGGTACGCACGCTCTTATATCCAATTCGACTAATTTCCCGGCGCTGGGACTGGCTGTTATTGACGAGCAGCATAGGTTTGGTGTTGGACAGAGAGATCGTTTGAAAACGGTACGCATTTTCTTAAATGAAGGCTGATCTTCTGAGATAGCGTTGTTGGCAGGCACACGCTTCTGAGGCCGTCGAGCCGGATCTGGACGATGCTGATCTGGAAAGAGCGAGACTGGCGAGCACTACACATGTTTTGCTCATGTCTGCTACGCCGATTCCTCGTTCACTTGCCTTAACGTGTCATGGAGACATGAGTTTGAGCCAGGTTTGTGCTCGTTTCCTTCTCACGCTTTTGCTTACTTCCATTCATGTAGATTAATGAGATACCTCCGGGAAGGCAGCCTGTAGACACTTATGTTCTTCCAGATGACGAAGGAGGACGCAGGAGAGCTTACGAGGTAATAGTAGGAGCACTGCGATGAATCTGTCTGACAAGTGTTTTGCAGCTGGTGAGGGCAGAGCTCGAGAATGGAGGCAGGGCCTTTTTCGTTTATCCTCTCATCAACGAATCAAGCTCTTTCGAGCACCAGCGAGCCGCCGTCACCGAGTTCGACAAGGTTGTGAAGGAATTCAAAGACTACAAGTGCGCGCTCGCGCACGGCCGGATGAAGCCAGACCTGCGCAACCAAGAACTCAAACGGTTTCGCGAGGGAGAATGCCAGATCCTGGTGGCGACCAAGGTGGTGGAGGTTGGCATCGACGTTCCAGAGGCGACCGTGATGCTGATAGAGTCGGCAGAGGGCTACGGCCTGGCGCAGCTCCACCAGCTAAGAGGCCGGGTGGGACGAGGGACGAGGAAATCGTTTTGCATACTCCTTACGTGCTGCGATACGGCCGTGGAGCGACTCAAGCTACTCGAGAGCACCACCGATGGGTTCCGGCTGGCGGAAGAGGACTTGAAGATGCGAGGGCCGGGTGATTTGCTCGGGAAGAGGCAGTCAGGAACACACTTGGAGTTCGTGCTGGCTCGCCTGGGCGAAGACAACGATATATTGCTGCAAGCCAGGGCCGCTGCCGAGGTATGTAGTTATGTGCTTTTGAGAGACTCTCCATGCCTTTTTTGCTCGTGGTTGGCAGGAATTACTGGAAACTGATAAGAATCTGGAAAGGCATTCCAAGGTCAAGCATGAGATCAACATCAGGCAGCTGCCCAAGTCTTGGAGCTAGAAAAACGAATCGATTTATATATATAGAAAACACTTTTTTTCCCATAAAGATTAAGTTCCATTGTTTGGGTTCGCGCTCGCCTTTCCACGTATGAGGACCCTGCAACATTATTTTCTGATGTTCTACGGTTTTATGTTTCTTGATAATGAGGATATAAAAGAGAAGATGGTAGCTTGGTTTGGTTGGCTAGACCACTTCATCGAGGAATTCTTTGTCAAGGCATCCTTTATTCTGCTTCACTTCACTTCCTTATATACGGTGATCGACCGTTTTTTACATGCTAGTGCTTGCTCCAATGGTCGTGACCCTAATACTGATGTGGCGGCAAATGGAATATTCCCTCGGTTCTACACTTGTCCGAACGTAACTTAACGCAACATCAGCTAGGATCGAAGCACTCGTCTGGACTTGCTCACATAAATCACTCTGCATTAACTTCCTAAGATTGGAAGATTGAACCTTCTTGTTTTGATCTGATAAAATTCCTTAGCAGAGAATACCATTAATGTTTTGAGCCGCTCGCCAATCG